TGGAGAGACAGCCGAACTTAATCGATATCAATAAAACAGATTTTTAATTTCAATTAAAATATTACGTATATCAAGAAAATATTTACATACGTTAAGTAAAACATTACGTACACTTCTTGTTCTGCTATATCTTATATATCGCTTAAATATGAGGTTATGTACATTTAAATCGTATTTCTCGTGCCATTTCTTTTGTAAGCTTCAAAATCATAATTTGAAGGTCTCATGATAATCTTATAAATTAGTCAAATCTGGAAAAGTCTTTTGTTTTTGCGTTTATTTATATATGATATATGCGAAGATAGAACCTACGTGGTAATTTCTGGGGGATTCTCGGTTTGGACTTTTCCGGACTTGTTTGTGTTTTCCCTTTTATTCTGGAAAAGGATTTTTTATTCTGCATAAGGAAAACGAGATGGCACGAGAAATACGAAATGAGTGTTCCGTCGGTAACTCCAGCATCTCCTTAAACGCCAAGAATATTAACTTTCCAAAAGAAAAACTTTGCAAAATACCTTGAATTCCCTGATCTCTTTGACGATCTTCCTTGATTTCTCTGATTTCCGCTGTTTCGTCGCAACCCGTCATTGTTACTTGCGATCGTTCGCGTCTTATTTAGCGCGAATCGGCGATCGAGACGATACGAGAGTGTTGTTCCGCCGCGCCGCAATGACGCGAACCTTGTCGTCATGAGTGCAAAGTTTGACACAAAGGACGCGACGATCGCCCGTCATCGTCCGGCAATGACTCCTGGCGAATTAATATTTTCGAAACGATGCGCGGCTCATTGCATTCGCGGTTGGAGACTGCTTCCTCTACTTCTGGTGCAGTCACCCCGACATGAATCATTAAAGAAACAATGCTGAAGGCAGTGGCGTATCTATCATACGCGTGGGTGGTGCAGCTGCGCCGACGAAACCCGGGGGAATCCTGACCGCGGCTCTTAATGGCTTTTAATTTCGTATCGTATCTCTGCCATCTTTTAGCGAGTAATGCGCTGATAAACGAAACAAGTTCCATTACCCTATCGAAGACGCATACCTGTTCCATTTATTCTTTTGTCTATCACACGAAAGTGTTAGATTATATTAATTAAATGACACGGAAAAGCGTAATTAGTAGCAAATCTAAAATTTTATTTGTTTATCGTTTAGGTACATCTTATACAGGGTGCTTCAGAAATAGTTGACCAAACTTTAAGAGCATATTCCACTCATTGTAACGATGAAGAAAAGTCATATAAACAAAATAGGTTCGGAAACACTTTCTCTCTCTCTTTCCTATAGTTATAATATAAACATTTCTTATTTACATTATACGTATTTACGTCGAACGACATGTCTCACTTCGACGTTTCATGAATGAATTGATAGAGGAAGACCCACCATTTGACCTGCAGCTGTTCTCTCGATTTGAATCATTTGATATGATACTCTTGTTGCTACTGTTGAAATACTCCAAAATCGTATTATAGGCTGCGTGTGAAAAAATACGAAATACTCCTAGAATTTTTGAACATCTTCAACAATGCGACGTCGATAAGAAGTATGTTTCCAACAGTTCTATGATGAAAATATATATATAAGTATAGTAAATAAAAAATGTTTATAAACTTGGAAAAGAAGCGTTTCCGAACTGATGTCTGTATGACTTTTTTTCATCCTTACAATGAAATTCGACATTTGGAAACAATGAAATAAGTTCATAGACATAGTAGATATATACAGAGAGAGAGAGAGAGAGAGAGATGAGGCATTGCACATTTACCATCTTCGTTAAAAAGAAAAAGTAACTTGCATATTCAATTGTATATATCATATTTCTCTTTAACTTGATACAAGAGAAAGAGAGAGAGAGAGAGAGAAAGGGGGAGGGGAGGGAGCGATACGAATCAAGCTATACTCCACCGTTTTCTGATAGTGACAGCTTCATAGGAATGAACAATCTATACCTATGTTACGTCTACGCGGTTCATAAAGATGTCTGATTTCGCTTTATTTCGAAGCTATACAACTGTTTACGATTTTTTTCTGCATGCTTGTTTATTTTCATGGTAGACTCGCAACATGGAGACCTATCGTGTTTCAAGCCTGTAATCGTCTTGATCTCGTTATCCTTTTGTCACATCCAAGTATTACTCGGATCTGCTGGAAAACTTTGCTCGATCGAACGACAGAATATGTCAGTGACTGCGTGTTCCGTATAAAGTAGAGACAATAGATTTCAAACGATTTTACACGTAAAAGTCCCGACACGGGTTCATAACGGGTAATGAGATCTGCGAGACTGGCTCGTTTGTTAGAGAATCGTCCATCCGAGAAATATCTCGCTGAAACACGAAGCTCGCTGTAACGCGGAAATAGGATTGTTCGCAACTTTATTTTGTTATTTCTTTTTTTTCCAAGTGTGATCAAATCTGCGCTCACGCAGAGTTTATCTCCAGAGTAATCAAATTCATCTTCCGCACCTCGGAAAATTTTCTAAAACGCTTCGCGTCAATCTCAATCTATATTTAATCGCGACAAGAAAACGCGTACTGTTCGGTAAACCGTGATTCGTATCGGACCGATACGATATATACTTCGATACATCGAAACAAGCCGTCGGTTTTATCAGCGACAGAAACGTGACTCTCTCTCTCTCTCTCTCTCTTTCTTTCTTTTAACTGTATGTTTCTCTCCATCAGTATAAAGGGTGACAACAAAAACGCGTGCTCTTATAACCGGCCTGAAGTTTATTGAATGAAAATGCCGATACGTTTCTCTTTCCTTTTTTTTCACCGACGCGACGTGCGTCGCAGCATCTCGCTAAACGCCGAATGAAACAATGGCCATTATATGGAACACTCGCGCGCACGTATCGCGCATTATACATTCACAGAACGCTGTACGTACGTGTGCATTACGTATGTTCAGCGTGGTTTTGCCTAGGATACTGTATATATACATGCGTGCGCGCGAGTGAAGCTGCGAAAATGTGTGTTTGCGCGCGACAGACAGCTGTTCGTACTATTATACCCGGCGCACGGTCGCATAATGCCTTAAGGACAATCGTGGGAATTCCATTAAGTGGCCTTGAATGGTTCATTCATGTCGATCAACTCTTTTCCTAACGGAACGGTTGACAGATCAATCGGCCGCTCAGGCACGAGAGCGACCCACGAGAGATTTCATTCGCTCGTTCTCGAGATCGGGAGAAACGCCGGAGTCAATTACTACTGGGCGCAGCCCGGGTGATCGTCGGAGGAACACACGGAGTCATCGTCGTCGAGAATGTAAGTGCCGGTTCGAATCGATCGGTCGGGACTCCTAGTAGCGTCTCTCGGCCGCGGCTTATCATGGTTTATTCCTCGGCGAATCGCGATTGCATTCGATTGCACTCGCACGCGAACGGACGTACGCGAGTGCTTTCCGTTGGACGATCAATAAACTATTACCAGATCGGCCGCTATTGGATCAGATATATATAATAGATACTATGGTGTCCGTTATATGACATTCAATTTCACTTGATACGTGCATCGTGTATCTACGGAGATTACAGCAATACCGCGAATCCAAAAAGTATACAGAAATCGCCGGGTAAACGTAATCTCGACAAAACACGATTGCGTAAAGTTAACGAAATGATATACAACAGTTGTAATTTATCCATCCCAGGGAAACATACTCCGTTCAAAACAGAGAAACTTAGTACAAAGAGCGTAGAGGAAAATATTACAACAAAAAAGTAATATATAAAAATATAATACATAAATATATGGCGATAACTCGAGAATTTTTAAACACGCTGAAAAAAAAGATCGGCTGAATAATATGGCATAGCATTTTTAATTGGCTGCTGCAACCAAAATTACAGACCACTCTGCAGCCAATTCAAAATGTTATATGCCATATCTTACCATCTGAGTTACTGTAATAACCAATGTTTTCAGTGCATCTCTCAAGAAAATACTCGTGAAAGCCTCAAAAGAGTTACACATAAAAACGTAATACACCATACGATATGAATAATAATGTGAACAATGTATGATACAGTTTTTGAACATAGCCGGAGACACTACCGCGTCTCCTGATTTAACACACATTCGTGAAAAATGCTGTATTCGATCAAGGTAGAGTCCCTAGATATCAGAGAAGCGCAACCGACGTTACGCGTCCTGATTGGCGTGACTGTCAGCCAATCGTGAAATTCATTCATTGGTAAAAATGACTGACTGATAGACGATTGGTGGATTTCATAGTTCGTCTGCAAACGACGCCATTTTTAGTACTTTTCTTAGTATCTGATTTAACACACATTCGTGAAAAATGCTATATTCGATCAAGGTAGAGTCCTTAGATATCAGAGAAGCGCAACTGACGTTACGCGTCCTGATTGGCGTGACTGTCAGCCAATCGTGAAATTCATTTATGGTAAAAATGACTGACTGATAGACGATTGGTGGATTTCATAGTTCGTCTGCAAACTACGCCATTTTTAGTACTTTTCTTAGTAGTTTTGCGATACTGACTTAAGTCCATGACACATAAAAAAACGTAAGGCCGTAAACGTAATCAGTAAGCGAATTGACCAATCACAGTTGAGAACGTAAGCGGCGGCTGCTTATGTTCTCAACTGTGATTGGTCGATTCGCTTACTGATTACGTTTACGTCCTTACGTTTTTCTATGTGCCATGGGCTTTAAGCCGGTTGCGCGCTTCTCTGATATCTAGAACTTTCTCTCTCTCTCTAGATCAAGGTGACTCTGTGTCCAATAATATTTCTTGTGAATATATACAATTTCCAGTTTAAACAAATTGTCCGCCGGTTATTTGTCAGTCTTGAATCAGTCGTAAATCATTTATAAGTTATAAATAGTGCATACAAAAAGGACTGTATACTTTTGCAACCGAATAATAAATTATAAAGTAGATTAATTATTGATTCGCTGTGGTACAAGTATCGGGAAGACATACCTATAGGATACAACTGAACGCATTCTCTCTTGATTTTTGCAGGATGCTGGATAATTATGACAGGGGTGAGGTGACACCACCACCGGCGGTGAGCGGCTACGGCGGCTCCCCCGGGCTCCTGGCGCTCCATTCGTCGCTTTACGCGACTCCCACGTCGAGGGCCTACGACATCGACTCCGGTATCGACGGCAACGACAGCTCGATGCCCATCGACACCCAAATCATCTCGGTACGATCCCATTTTGGATTCTGTGTAGTCTATCATTCTCTCGAAATAGATCGGCGTGCCTCCGCGTTGCACCCGCCGTGTACATTCTTGGGCGCTCGACGTTGTTGTAAGCACACCTACGTGAAGCATTCACAACAACGCACGCGTACAACTATTCGGAAATGAATGCACGAGTACAAAGTCGAACCGCCGCGCGGAACAATGATAGCCGGAGGGAACGATAGCGAAATCATATGTCCGATGCGAACGCGATCGATTCATTAATCCCACGTTTCGTCTCGTCTAGAGATCCTAAAGCAAAGTTCACGAGCGATTTTGTCGAAATTCCACGAGAGTCCTCATCCTATATTCTTTGTTAAGGTTACACAAAAAGTGAAAAAGAATTATTTTGCCGAAGTATCCAAAAGTGTAGATAGATACAAATCTGAAAATAATTTTGTTAGACTATCAAAATAATTAGAAATCTGTAAAAACATTGACATTCTAACAATCGGTTTGAGCGCCCTACCCTACATAATTTGATAGTCCAACAAAATTTATTTTTATAGATATGTATTTAAATTCTTAAATATTCCAGCAAATCGTTCTTTCCACGCAAAGTAAGACGGTAAAGTCATAGAGTAGACAACAAAAAGATAACATATTAATATCTATAGGGTATATTAGTATATCTCTCTTGTAGGATTTTGACAAATCGTTCGTGGCCAAACAAACTTTGTTATAGAATCTCTAATCCTGTCTGTCGTCACCAGGCATTTTAACGACGTGGTTGTTGGTCAAATAAATATATACTCGACATCTTTGTATTCAATCATCGACAACTTTTTCGTTCTCCGTGGTTGTGCCGCGTCACTTGAAACTCAAACGGAAGAAAATAATTTTCACCGTTCTCGAAACACACACACACGTCGCTGCGGGTAAATAAACGTCGGACGTTCACGAGGGTATGTCTCATGGAACGCCGTGGAATCGTTTCCTGAAACCAGATACCGAGCATGCTGTCCGGCCCGGCGCAGCAGCGGCTCGAGGACATGCCGTGGCTAGCCTCTGGCCCGTCGCTCGAATACCAACCGGGCATCTCGCCGATTCCCGCAGGAGTGAAGATGTGCCATCCCGGCGGCGGCACCGCCCAGAGGAGCCTCAAGGAGCAACGGATACGTCGTCCGATGAACGCGTTCATGGTCTGGGCAAAGGTCGAGCGCAAGAAATTGGCCGACGAGAATCCCGATCTCCACAATGCCGATCTCAGCAAGATGCTCGGTGAGTGCCGCATGAAATATATTTCTCCCATTTTTCCCCCGCTTTTCCCTAGAGGGCAGTTTGCAGTTCATCACGTTTATTAATTAATCCTCCAACGAGATTGGATTCGTTTTGATGGACGAAACGCGAATTGAATGTGAATTGAAAGGATATTGACTGCGTCTCTGGAAACTTTTGAATTTACATGTTAATTGGCTGGGAATTGGTCTTCTCTTAACTCGATTCCGATCTATTAATAAATTTTAAAAGAGAATTAACGCTATATTTGTTTTGCAGCGAAGAATAGGTTCTCATGATTTGCAGCTCTAGAAATCCAGGGCTTTTAATAAACCACTGATATGTATGCAGTTTTCTATGTTAAATAGATCGGCGATTTATTAAAAAAACATTGTATCATTTAAAATGTAATTAAGACGCATCGAGGTTACCTCGTTATAGGAAAATTGTCTATTACCGGATACGGCAGAGGCCGAGGTACAAGATTACGGTCTCGGCTTTGAAAAATACGCGTACGCGGAAACAATGTTGACGCTGCTCGCGCGGGAAAAGGCCTTTTCCGCCGGGAAACCGACTCCATGGGAATAAGAAAGCAGGAAAAAAGATCTTCCACGCGGCGCGTTATCATTAAATTAATTGCAGGCGTCGGGCGAAAATGTGGAATTAATTCAATTACGCTTAGAACCGAAGCTTCAACGAGACGAGGAGAAAGGTGAGACAGAGAGAGAGAGAGAGAGAGAGAGAGAACTCTCTCGAAGATGGAAAAAAAAACTCGACGTTTGTTAACGCAATTATGTATTTCCCCCCCCCCCCCCCCACATGCAGTTGAGACCGCGAAGTCACGCGGCCACCATACGAATGCATTATAATTCGCGGTCTCCTCTCGTTCGTGTATCGCGAACCACCTGCGCGATCGAGATAGGAAAATCGTTCTCTTATCGCGCCGTGCCGCGCCACTCTGCGTTTCGAGTCCTCTTCGCGAATCTGGTTTCGATCGTTACGTTATCGCTCGACGATTCTCCATAGCAACGTTTCTCCCAATTGTGATACACGAATATCCGAAGGACGAAAACCAGAGAGTTTTGCAGTTGACAATCTTGCGAGATTCTTCCTTTTTTCTTTCTTTCTTTCTTTCCTTCCTTCTTTCTTTCTCTCCGTCATCCTTGGCGTGTCTCCTCAGTGTTGAGACCGTGGAGCCCATCATCCGGCACCTAACGATCTGTCAGCGCTGATCAGTGCTCTTTTTTCCTCTCTCTCTCTCTCTCGTCTTCTCTCTTTCTCGCGCGCGCGTTATCGTGGGCAGGTACACCTTGAATTATCGGCAATTGGCATCCGCAACGTTATTGGCATTTGAACGATCGAGCGGCCGTCGTGCAGAAAATTGTAAACTTCTCCTCCACCTCTATATACCTGCCTTTACCTCACCCGTTGCCCATTTCCAGCGCCCTGCGTGAGGCGTAGCGTGTTTACACTCGCGCGCGCGCGCGTCTGCGTGCATGCACACGTGCTCTCTCCTCCCCCTGGCACCGCGTCTTTTTCCCCTTTTCCATCTTGCCACTCTCTCTCTCTCTCTCTCTCTTTGTTCCTCCGTCTCTCGTCTCGCGCTGACGAACAAACCCGTAAATCACCTATCCGGGCCCCCTCCGCCCGCCCCCC